ACATATACATACATAGGGGAGCTCTGGTGGCATAGTGCCTAAGGTACTTGACTGCTAACCAGAAGACTGTTGATTCAAACCCACCAGCCATTCTTTGGAAGGAAGATTGAGCAATCTACTCCCATAGTGATACTTCCTGGGAAACCCAAGGAGGGGTCGCTATGAGTCAAAGACAACTCGACGGCATATAACAACAACTACAACAACATATACATATATGGGAGCTCTGGTGGCATAGTGCCTAAGACATTTGACTGCTGAACAGAAAGCTAGTGTTTCAAACCCACCAGCCACTCCTCAGAAGGAAGACTGGCCAATCTACTTCTGTAGAGATACCACCTCAGAAACCCAAGGAGGTGTCACTATGAGTCAGAACCAACCCGACAGCAGTGAGTTTGGTTTGTTGTTTTTATATACATATGTGGAATAAATATAGAGAAAGGGGATATTTTGTTGTTAGTTGCTGTGAGTTTATTCCACCTCATGATGGCCCCATGTGTGACAGAGTACAACAGCTCCATTGGATTTTCTTAGCTGTAATCTTAATGGCAGTAGATCATTAGGACTATCTTCCATGGTACTTCTGGGTGGGTTAGAACTGCCAAACTTTATTAACAGTCTAGTGAAAACCATTTGCACTACTCAGGGACCAAGGGGATATATAGATATAAATATATAAATATATGTAATATATTTAAGTCATATATATAAGGTCATAGGAGATATATAGATATTGATTGGTTGTAGTGGCATGTCATTGAGTCCATTCCAACACATTGAGAACCTGTGTAAGAGAGTAACTACGCCATAGGGTTTCATAGGCTGTAATCTTTACAAAAAGGAGCACTGGTGGCACAGTGCTTAACTGGTTGGCTGCTAACTGAAAGGTCAACAGTTCAAACCTACTATCTGCTCCATAGGAGAAAGATGTGACAGTGTGATTCCATAAAGATTACAGCCTTGGAAACCTTATGGGGCTGTTCTGCTCTGTCCTGCAGGGTCAGTATGAGTCAGAATCAACTCGATGGCAACAGATCTTTAACTTTTACATGTGTGGCAGACTAAAACTCAGATCAACAGGGTTTCCTTGATTGTAACCTTTTAGGAAGCAGATCATCAGACCTTTTCTTCGGTGGTGCCTCTGGGTGCTTTCAAACTGCCAAACTTTCTGTAGTAATTGAGAACAAACCATTTGTGATACTTAGGGACCGTAGGTATGTTGTTATTGTTAGGTGCCATGAAGTCAGTTCCTAATCATAGCCTCCTTGTGTGTAATAGATGGTCCAGCACCATCCTCATAATTGTTGGCTGTGTTTGAGCCTATTGTTGCATCCACTGCGTCAGTCTTTGTCATTGAGGGTCTTCCTCTTTTTCATTCACCCTCTACTTTACCAAGCATGATGTCCTTCTTCAGGAACTGGTTCCTTCCAACAGCATGTTCAAGTCCGTGAGACAAAGTCTCACCATCCTTGCTTCTAGGGAGCATTCTGGCTGTACCTCTTCCAAGACAGATTTATTTATTATTCTGGTGGTCTGCAGTATATTCAGTATTCTTCTCCAACACTATAATTCAAAGGAATCAATTCTTTTTGAGTCTTCTTTATTCATTGTCTACTTTTTGCATACATATGAGGTGCTTGAAAATATCATGGTTTGGATTAGTTGCACTTTCATGCTCAAAGTCACATCTTTGCTTTGTAACAATTTAAAGAGGGATTTTGCATCAAATTGGCCCAGTGTAGTACTTCATTTGTTTTCTTGACTTCTACTTTCATAAGGGTAGATTGTGGATCCAAGTAAAATGAAATCCATGATAATTTAAATCTTCACTCCATTTATCATGATGTTGTGGGGATTTTTTTTTTTTTTTTTT